CCCAGGCGCGGCCTGGGTTCCACGCGACCCAGGCGCGGCCTGGGTTCCACTCAACCCAGCGCCTGGGTTCCATGCCCAGCATGCCTGGGTTCCAAAAAAAAAAAAGAAATTTCTGTTTTCTTTGTTTGGGTTTTGTTGTTTGATGATATGAGAAATTGATTGATGAAGTTGAAGAAGGCAAGGTAGCAGTTGGGTTTTTGCAGGTGGATGAAGATGAGGAAGGCATAGGTGCTGGGTTCGTGCAGGTGCTGGGTTCGATTTTGAACCCAGTAGGCACTGTGTTCAAGCTGGGTTTCTGCAGGTGCTGGGTTTGATTTGAACCCAGCAGGCACTGGGTTCCGTTTCGAACCCAGCAACCGTTGGGACGATGGATCTGTTGAGTTTGATCTATTTATGGATTTGTTATTTGTTGTGTTATCCTCATATTTTTGCAGGTTCTAGATTCGATTTTAAACCTAGCAAGCGTTGGGTTTTGTTTCCAACCCAACTGCAGTTGGATAAAGATCTATTGATTTTTATTTGTTGGTTTGTTGTGTTATTCTCATATTTAATATTAGGAAATGTTAGGGTTTGCAGAAGGTGAAAGGAAAGGGAGAGGAAGAAGAAAGGGTAAAAAGAAAAACAAAGGAAGAAAAAAAAAATTTTTTTTAAGGTAATTTTTTGCCATCTCATTTCTTTACCACGCTGTCATCCTAGGTGTCAAAATGTTTTAACATGTCATCCTTTTCTCCGTCAAGTAACAAGACACGTAGGCAAATATTTAATGAAAGGACCAAATCGGGGTTAAAATGGTAAACAGTAGGGACCAAATCAGGGATTTTTTTAGTTTAGGGACCAAATCGGGGGTCCGTACAATAGTTTAGGGACCAAAATGGGGTTTTAACTTAAAATTAAATGATATATAATCTTCTTAATACCTTCCTTCAATATATGCAATTCGGAAACATACAATAAGTAAATGCTAATGTACATATTTTGTTTTGGATATTCTGATTTCATTAGGAACGAGCATTTTATTTCAATCTTCGCAGGCAGAAAACAATTATCTGATTTTTGAGTTTACACAATACACAATATACCATCCAGTTAGGTAATTAAGAAAAAATCATCAATTTATCCAACACTTATTCACCCGCTAAGTAATTAATATTTTCTATATTTTTGGTAAATTTACATATACACATAATTTTTTCAAAGATATTATCACATGTTAATACAGTGATGGGATCCGACCCGCCCCATCCAACGGATTTAGTTATGCAATGCGATACTGCACAACTCCCAATCACAACAGAATACAAGAGTTTAAAATCCAAAAATGAAAACACAAAAAAATAAATAAATAAATAAATTCCAGCTTCTTACCTGTATATGAATCAGATTACCAGCCAAAGAATATGTGCCGACAGCCGCTACCCTAATCTCGTCAAAATCCAGCAACTAGACGACAGGTTGGGTCGGATCTTCACCTTGTGTTCATCCAGATCAGACCACCCAAGGACGAGAAAAAGATTTTAGTTGGCGTTGTCAAGAAAGTGGGCGTCCAGAGCGCAAAGGACCGTCAGCCATCCCGACCTGATCGGTCATCGCTCAGCCCCTCACAGGCGATGCAATTGCAATTTTGCAACCAACATCCTTCGGATGCGTCCACTTCGGCATTGACTGGAATTTCAATTTTAATTGCTCGGAGAGAAGTACGGTAAGAGGAAGAAGATAACAGGCCCACATATTAAAAAAAAAAAAATTCTTTTCTTTCATTAAAACGCACCGTCAAAAGTAAAAGAATGGAAGAAAACTTAGCAAAGTGATTACATAAAAAACACCAGTTTTAGCCAAATTTTTATTGAACATGAAATAATATTCATTCACATGAAAAGACATAACCATCTCAGAAAGAACGGGCAACCGGCTGCAGCTTATGCTGCCAACTAATTAAACTCATGCACACATTATTTTTGTCAGATCTTCTTGGAGGAAGAAAGAAAGCCAACTGCCTGCAGCTTCTACTGTGGAAAAGAAAGCAAAATTACAAAAAGCATTACGACTATTCTATCCATTGTTATGATGAGAAGGAACACAAATAAAAAGAGGCTGTAGAAACTCACCTAAGAGTGTTGGTTGGATTTTTGGGTTTTTCTCTTCTTATGCCTGCAGATGCTTGTTCCAAAAAATTTCTGTTGATATTTCTCCACCTTCTTCACCACCCACCATGGTTTTCCTGTTGTGAACATAATGTATCCCAGACTAAGTCCCAATACTAGTCCACACCCATGGCCCGCCAATGCAAACTTCCACTCGAAGAGTGTTGCAAAGTCATCTTCTTCATCAAATTTTGATGGAGGTGCTCCTGGTTCTTCCTCGTTGTGGCATTTCTTTGTCAATGGTAATTAGACCTGGCAAACGGGCGGGTTGGGTCGGGTTAGGGTCGGGTCAACTCGGGTGACGGGTTAGACGGGTTGGGTTATAAACGGGTTGCGGGTTGGAAACATTCAACCCTAACCCGACCCTAACGGGTTACGGGTTAACCCGCG